ATATTTTTTTGAAAAATGTGCAGTCTGGTTTAAATAATTTTTTTCAATGTTCGTATAAAATAAGTGACCAGTTTGGCTGTATTTTTTCGTAACTCATATATTAATATGAATAAGTTAGTAAATTATAGTCAGAAACTATTAATTAAATCTGTGAAATCTCGAAAAATTTGCCGAGTTTACGTATAATTAATTATGAATCAGCTAGAGCCAAAAGAACTAAAGTAGAAAAAAACAGTGGATTATCTTGTTATTAACAAAAAGAGAAAAGTTACTTTATTTAACATTCCATTTAAATAAAAATATATTTAAATTTTATTTTTAATTTTTTACATTTTTTTAGAAAAATTTAGAAAAAAAATATATTAAATTAATCTTTTATTTTTTTATAGAGAGAGAAAAACAGATTAAAAATAAAAAGATTTACTTACAACTAAATATTTTTAAATAAATTTCTTCACAAAATATTCAAAAAATGCATTCCCTAAATAACCAAATTTTGATTTTTTCTTTAATTACATTATTGGCAATTACTCTAACAATTGCAAATAAACATCATAATAACCATAATAATCATCACGGAGCAACAGTTTCTGATATTTCAAAAGGACTGGCTGGTTGGGTTCAGAGTTATAAAGAGCCAAAAACTGACGAAGAAAAAGAATTAAAAGTAAATTCAGAAAATTCATCTACAAAACAGAAAGAAAGTGAAAGATCAGCACCTGTGGAAGAAGAGGAGGAGGAAGAAGAAGAGCCAACTTGCACAATTAAAGTTCAGAAGGTGAGGAATTTTTTTCGTTAGTAAAATACCAACTAAAATTTAATACCCTCTAAAATACAAAATATTTTGAGACCACCTCTGCATCTATTAGAGATATTGCTATATTCGTATACAAAATGTGTTCCTTCATTAGCTAGAAGGGAAAGAGGGGGTTACTTACTACTAACTTACTATACAAAACACTAAACCTTTCCGTTTTGTTTTTAATAAATTTAAAAAATAAATTGTAGATTAACTATTTATATTCCAATTTATTAAATGGCACATATCCAATTGACTCCCCCCCTACCTACCTGTTTACAAAAGAGAATTCGTTCTTTTTTTATTCCCGTTTTGCATTTTTGGCGTTTTTCCTTCTCAGTTTTTAAATCAAAACACGAGCCAAATTGGACATTTATCCAATTAAATATGTAGATTGAATTTTAAATCACTAAAAAATATTATTTAAAAAACAAATTAATTAAAGTGTAATGTTTTTATTTTATTATTAAGGTCACGAAAAGTGTGTTTTTTAATAAATAAAAATAATTTAAAATAGTCTTGATAATATAAAAATGGCACGGAAAATAAAATAATTTTTGCACGCTTTACGGAAGTAAATAAAAATTAATATAAATAAATAATTTTTAGTAATTATAGACCGGAAATAAAGAAAAAAAACAAATAAATTTAATATCAGACTTAATTGCTTAATTAATTTATTTAGCGGGGAGGAAGTAATTTTAGAGGGCAAAATGATTTCAAAATAAATTAAGAACACATATAGGTATTTCCTCTGGCAACAAAAATCTGTTTACCTTCATTTAGGAAATATCTTGTTCTAAATCATTCTGACCTTTAAATATTTTGATATTTTCTATGTCCATTTTATCCAAATCAAGATAATGTTTATATTTGGTTCACAAAAATATTAATTCCCGAAAATTCACAAACTCTAATTTTTTCTATCAATTAAGGTTGAAAAACATGTTGGAAAATGTGTTCGTCTACGAGGCAGTGTTGGAGCTTGTCAGACAGACAAATATTTAGATCCACAAAATGCGGAATGCATGTTCCTGTAATTCTTGTAGTTGGAAAAAAGGCACAGGAACGAATGAAAGACCGGTGCAAAAAAAGAAAAAAAATTAAAAAAAAAAGCTACAAAAATGGTGGGACAACACAAACAATTTTCTTGCCTTTTTGGAGATTTTTATTAAAAAAAAAGTTTAAAAAATACAAATAAAATAAATTACACATTCCTTTCTTTTCTTTGTTAAAATTCTTTTTAATGATCTCTTTTTATTGTTTTAGATTTTTCTGAAAAATAATCTCATTTTCTTTTTTTTTGCTGTGTTAACTTTTTTGTTAGAGATAGTTTTTACTATAGACCGGACATGGACTGAATCTCCAACAAAAATCTCGTTTATTGATGTTTTTCGAGATATCAATCACGACTCTCTACGACCCTCACAGTCCGGTCTCTAGTTTTTACTGTTTTTTGTTAAGGCGAGTATTTATAAATTTGTCATTTTATAAGCTAGAGCATTGAAATTTTGTAAATTTATTTATAAACATATTTTCGAGATTATTTATAAATTTCAGAATATTTGGGTTTGTAATTCTATTTTTATGGTTTAAGATACATGCGAACCCCACCAAAATAAATATTTTATTCAATAAATGACTAAATAACCAAACAAAAATTTCTTTTAACTAATTAATATTTAAAAGAATAAATAATCAAAATTGCTTAATCTCTTCATTTGACAATTTTATAAACTCGCCTCGTAACAATCTTGCAAAAAACTATCCTTTTTCTAAAATTTTTTCCAAAAAATGGCAAAATTTAAATTAAAAATCTAATTTTTTTAATTTTAATTATGTCATCTACTCTATTTTTACATATCCAAATTTATTTTTCTTTTTTTACTTTAAATTTCCACAATTATTATATTCGTATTTCTCTCAAATTTTAAATTAATCCTTTTATTTTCTTTTTGATTAAATGTTTAAAAGCGCATAAAATAATTTTTGTTTTAACAGAAAAAAATTAAATTTTGCAGTAGTTGCCAAGTTAAATGTAAATTTTACACGGCCTAAATACAAAAATATTCTTAAGATCCAATCCATTTTGTGTTATAAATAGAGCTGTGAATTTTATGCATTAAAAAATGCAAAATATGCACTATAATATGCATAAAAAATTGCTGAAATATGCACGAAAATATGCATAAAACCCAAAATATCCACGAAAATATGCAATAAAAATACAATTTATACCTAGAAATTTTACATTTTCTCAGTCAAAAACATTCAAACGCCTATTTTTATCAAGATTACTCCCAGTTTATATGTATTGTTTAACAAATTGAGTATTTTTACTCTGTTGGACATTTTAAGAAGTGGCGTTTTGGCTGTGTGACATTTTGGGGTGGGACATTTTTGAGTCGCGTCCAATAAACAAAAAAATTTTTTCTACAAAATTCTTGATTTTTACAAATTTTTTCAAGAATTTTTACTAAATTTTCAATTTTTGACAAGATTTTGGGCAATTTTCGCGATATTTTCCCCAAAAACCTCCAAATATGCAGTAAAATATGCATTTATGCACCAAAGTCTGAAATATGCAAAAATATGCATTATATGCAAATAGAAACCCCCTCTAAAGTTTTCAAAACTTGCGGAAACAGTGTTTTTTGTGCTTTATACATGATGCCAAGTTTGCAAAAAAAATATGCATTTGCATAAAAATCACAGCTCTAGTTATAAAATAACCAATTTTCGCCTACGACTTCACATTTCTTTGCTAATTCTTAAATTATAATGGAAATTTTTAAAGCCTTTGATGGCGATAAAAATTGTTAATTATTTAGAAAATATTTATTTTGTTAAAATTTAAAATGCCCCGTCGTATAGTTCAAGTCTCTATTTTGTAAAGGAACTCTATACAACTATTAATTCGTGTGTTTAAGGTGTACATATTTAATTAAATTATTAATAATTTATTACTAATAATGAATTTTGAAATAATAGAATTACCTAATAATTATTAAAATTTACATTAAATTCTCAAAATTAAAGTTTTTTATGCTACATAATTTTATCTTTCTTTCGACACAAATTAAAAAGAAAATCAAAATTTAATTGAGAAAATTAATTTAATTTTTGTTCGATTTCCAAAAAAATTTTTTTCTCGACTTTTTTTGATTTCATTTATTTAATGATAACAAACACAGTGTAAAATAATAAAATAATAATTAATTTTGTTTGTTTGTCAATAAATGAAAGAGTAATCGATTAAGAAGGAAAGAAGGTTTTTTTGGGGGAAAAAGGGCCAAATACTGCTACATAGTAAATAAAAATAAAAATATAACCATTTAAAAATTCTCAAAAAATAATTTCTTTATCGTTTAAAATAAATTTTATTTTTTTTTTGCAATTTTTAATTAATTTTTTAAATTATATATTTTCATGCTAATCTAGTGTTTACCACTACAAAATTTAAAAACATGCTAAAATTTAACTTTAAATGTTTATTTTTTCTTAATCTACTAATATTTTTTGTTTTCCCTTTATTATTATTTTCCGGTTATTTGGCTGCTGAAATTGTTAGTTTTTTTAGAAAATAAATTTTTTTTTGACTTCTTGGTACTACAAAATAGTATAAATACATATGTATTTTACTAGAATTAATTGGTATTTGGTGTAAAAATTTGTATGCGAAAAAATTTTTCTCATAAAAATATGTACATACTGGAAGAAATCCTCTCTTGATTTCCTCTCTCCGAAATTAAATATTAATAAATATTTCGCTTTTTTTTACATAAACTTTTGAGGCTGAAAATTGTACGTAAAATTGGGTACATCCATTATTATGAGTATTACTCATAATATAATTTTTCTCAAACAGCTCCCCTAATCCAGTTGGCAGACGAATTTTAGAAAGGGAATATTCTTTAAATATAGGGGGTCTATGTAAACCTTTATTTTCCAATACAAGGTCAAAGGACAATTGAAAATCATTTTTTTTTCAAGAAATTCTCGTATTAAATTAATCTAATATTCCAAATATTTTATGTAGATTGAAACGGAAGAATTAAAAGAATGTTTACAAAAAACTTTCGAAGATTCTGAAACTTTTATTTGTGTATGTAATTCGGAATATTGTGATGAAGTTGAGCCTCTTGGATTGTTAGCAAAAGGAAAAATAGTTTTTTATTTGACTGATAAAAGAAAGAATCGGATGAAAAAAGTGCTTAAACACTTCCCATTTAATAAAACCGATGATAGTAAGTTTTTTAGAAATTTAAAATTTTTTTTGTGATTTCTTCATAGATAAATTACCAACAATATCAATTGATTCTTCTACACGTTTTCAAACAATAATCGGTTTTGGCGGGGCTTTTACAGATTCTGTTGGATTGAATTTAAATTCTTTAAGTGCTACAACTAGGGAAGGCCTTATTAAAAATTATTTTCATCCTGAGGAGGGAATTGGGTATTCTATTGGAAGGGTGCCTATTGCTAGTACTGATTTCTCGACGAGAGAATATTCTTATGTTGAACAAGAAGGGGATTTTGAATTGAAAACATTTTCTTTGGCAAAAGAAGATTTTGAATATAAGGCTAGTTTTGAAGTTTTGACTTTTGTTTTGTACTCCAATCTTAAAGCCTCTAAATAAATTTGATTCACCTAAATACCTTGAATATAAGATTATGCCCATAATTGGATGAATCAGCAATAATGTTAATAGAAAGTTCAAGTATTTACTCTACCTATTAATACTCCCATAATGATCCTTGGGTAATCAATTATTAAATGTATAGGTTTTTTTATTGGAATCGAATATCACGAGATGAAAATATAAATAGCTACGCTAGTCAAAGCTTACATAGAAATTACTCTGACATTTCTCCCAAGTCTTTTTTTTTCTAATTTCTCGTTTTGCAGATCCCTTACATAAAAATGGCAAATCGCTACAGAATAGGGCAGCCCTTCAGACTTTTAGCCGCCCCATGGGCATCACCTGGATGGATGAAAACTAATGGGAAAATGAATGGAGATGGTGAATTAAAAGGAGATTTAAATGGACCTTATTACCAGTCCTATGCTAAATATTTGAAAAAGTTTTTTTTAATTTATCCAAAATTTAATTAAATTTAAAAAGATTTTTTGACGAATATCACGCAAATGGAATTGATTTTTGGGCTTTAACCATTCAAAATCAGCCAGAGAGTGGTTTAGAAAAAGATTTTCCTTTCCAAACAATGTTTATGAGTAATCGAACACAGAGGTATTTTAATATAAATGGGATCATTTTCAGAAATTTTTAGAAATTTTTTTCAATAACTACAAGAATTTCTAAAAATTGAAAGTTTATTTATCTTAGGATAAACAAGAATTCTATAATTAAAATGCTTTTATTCAATTGTGTTCCAATCAGAGGTGGATCGGAACTTTCAGAGTTGTCGGAAATCAAAAATGGCTTAAAAGTTGGAACTCGGAAATTAAATTTTTTTCAGAAATCGGAAGGAAAAAACGTCGGAAATCGGAATTCTCTTGTTACAATCCTTTTACACTCTAAAAACAAATACCCCCATGATAACATTATTGCCATTTCTCCAAAAACAAAACACTTGTCGAAAATAATTTTATCTTTAAAAAATAATTATTATTAAATAATTTTTTGTATAGACTACATAAATATAAGTTTAGTGTTTTATCCGCTAATTCTAATTTTATGTTATAATTTACGTAATATTATTTACGTTTAATAACCATTAATAAAATAATTGGGTTACGTAATAAATTAATTGTCTAATTTATTTTTTCTTAAAAAACTTTATACGAATTTCTTTTTATAAGGAAAATTACTTGTAAATTAAATAAATACTTAAGAGATTACTTTAAAAAATACTCAGAATATTAAAAGTTTACTTGAACTGGTTCAAAATTGTACTCGAACATTTTGAGAAATATTCTTGTTTTTTTTCTTGTTTATAAAAATTAATTAGAACGGGGTAAAGGTATATAATACAAAAATTTTTGTATTTCTCAAAAAAAAAAATAAAAATTAATGAATAATTATTTTCAGAGAATTTGCCAAACAATTATTATTACCGTTATTTCAAAAATCAGAATATACAGTAAACCTTAAGTTGATAGCTTTTGATGATGTAAGAGAACATTTAGTTGTTTCGGCTTCAGAGGTGGGAATTAATTGGGAAAATAAATTAAATTTTTAAAATTTTTACAAGTAAATATTATTCGTTATAAGTACATATATAAACTTTTACTAATCCTTGTTGACTATTTATAGACACTAAAAGTTTAAGGTAATACGGCGGATACATTATCAAGACAAATTTATTTTTGTAAATTTTAAAAAGAATAATTGGAAAAATGGACATTAAAATAAAAATATTTTTAATAAAAAATAATCAAAAATTTCAGATATTTGAAAAGCAAACAGATTCTTCTTCGTCAAAAACATCATTTGAACAGACTAACATTTTCCTAGATCATTTACTTCCTTTAGTACCGGATTTTGTTATTGATGGAGTGAAAAATGTGGGGATTTTGTGAATTTAATTTTGGGAATTAGCAAAGATTTTTTTTATTTATAGAACAACATTTTTTATATTATTTTAAGTAACCCTTATATTGGGATGTCAAGAGTATCTCTGATCAAACTCTGTTAACCATAATCAAAGAACCGTTGATTTGTACTAATAATTGAAATTCAAAATTAGACAATCTTAGAACTGATTGATCGATTTTAAACAGGGGGTTGAGCAACATTAGTAAGGGGTACCTACCGAAAATATCTCTTAATAATCTTGATTATAATTTTGATGAATTTTTTATATAAAAATTAATATTTATCTTTAAATTTTTAATAATTTTTTATTTAAGTTTTTAAATTACCAAAATGAGGTGGAAATAAAAAATCCAATAGATGGAATAGGCGTTCATTGGTATGTACTTGATAAAATTGAAGATCAAAGCAAAGTTCATGAACTTTACAAGGACAAATTTATTATATCGACTGAAGTAATTTAAATTTGAAATTATTTAAAAATAATGGAATTTTACCTAGAAAAAATGATATTTAGTTTCTGATCTATAAAAATCAGAATTATAACTTTAAATAAATCAAAAGTCTAATAAACTATACACAAAAGTTAAAATATACTAAATTAATTATTTCAAATATTTAAATAAAGGCATGTGCAGGTTTTGATATAATTGCAGATTTTGGACCTCGTATTGGTAATTGGACGAGAGGTTGGATGTATGGACACGATATTTTACATAATTTGAGGAATTGGGCTATTGGATGGATTGACTGGAATATTTGTAATTATTATTTTTAAAAATTTAATTAAGAAAATTTAAGAGTTAGATGGATATTTATTTACTAACTGAACCGGACCATTAGCCGTTTTTGCCGAATTAACCGGAACCGAAAACCAGAGGTATCGGTTAATAACCGGTCGCTGACAACCCTAGTTTGTACCTTTGAGATTTGATAGAATCTGAGAATTTTTAACTTTAACTAGGGTTTAGCTTGGGTAGAATTTGTGAATTTTAATTAGTATAACTTGAGTAGAAACCATGGGTATTATCAGAAATAATATTCATCCTTTTTCAGAAACTTTCCTCAACTTTATAACTAAATATTAAATTTAACTTTAAGGTTTAAATATGGAAGGAGGTCCGAATTGGGTCAACAATATTGTAGATGCTCCCATCCTTGTGGATGGAGAGAAAGATGAATTTTATAAGCAACCAATGTTTTATTTTATTGCACATTTTAGGTAATTTATTTAATCAAAATAAAATTATTTTCCATTTTTTTCAGTAAATTTATTCCTCCCGGTTCTGTCCGAATCAGCTCTTCTCTATTTAATAATTTATCTAATTATTCAATTAATTTATTAAACAAAATAGATCATGTAGCTTTTGTTACTCCTAGAGGGGATAAAATAATTGTTTTGATTAATCCAAATGAAGAAATTATTGAATTAAATATTAAAGATATTGTTGAGGATAGAGAAATGAAAATTGAATTAGAACCTAATTCTATTATGACAGCTATTTGGAATTGAAAATTTATTTTTTTAGATTATTTATTAAATATTTATATGTTTAGAAATTAAATTTTAATTTAGGAAAAATAATAAATCTTTTTATATAACTACTTGTATTTTTATATTCACCTAGATTAGTTGATCCTTTCTAAATCACCAGAAAGGTGCATGTGTCTCAAAAATGGGGTAAATTTTTGGTAGAGTAGAACACTGCCTTAGATATTTAAATAAGAATATTTTTTATTTAAATTTGAAATACTAAATTGGCCCAATGTTATCCAATTTTCTGACTTATTTTTTATTCAATATTTAATTTTATTAATTAAAATTAATTTCAAATAAAAGAAATATACAGTATTTACTCTAATAGAACGACATGTCGTTTTATTTTTCAACCTCCCTCTAGACCGTCGTTCAAATAGAGGCTGTCGTTCTATTAGGGGAAATACGGTATTTATAAATTATAATTAAAAATTAAATCATTCTATGTATTTGAGAATCAAATCTTTTTCTAATTTGGCATTTATAGGGTAATGGTACTACACTTAATCCAAAATTTTGTTGTTTGGAGGGCATCTCTGAATATTTTGGTGGGCTAATCTAAATTAATTTAAAATTAATTAAAAGGTATTTTTCAATTTCTCTCACCTCATATTGGTTAAAAAGATTAACAAAGATAAGAAAAAGTTCAGTTCTTGCCAAAGACTCTCCAGCACAAAATCTTTTACCAATCGAAAAGGGAATAAATTCATCAAAACGTTTAAGTGTTCCATTTTCACTGAGAAAACGTTCGGGAAGAAATTGACGAGAATTTGGGAAAATCTTTTTAAAAATATTTTTTTGAAAATTTAAATAAAAACAAACATTTTCATCATATAAAACACACGAAATTAAAGGTTGTATAGATGTTCCTTTACGTAATAAATGGCCTCTAACATTTATATCTTGAACTGTACGACGTGCCAAATTTTGTGGAAGAACGTTGGCTATACGCATTATTTCCTTTTTGATTAAATAAAAAATAAAGACTTTTAATGGGTAATTAAAAATTAATATTTTACATTTAAATTGTCTGCTTTTTATTGTTTTTATTAAAATTTGGAAAAACTTTGGCCAAAAAATATTCTAAAATTAATTTCCTGCTCACTTTCGAAAATTAGTTAAATAATCAAAATAAATTAACAAGAATTTATGTTAATATTTTTATTTTATTATGATTGGTATTAGGATTTTTAGGCACTAAAAAGTCAAAATAGGCACTAAAGGCAAACAAAATAGGAAAATATATTTGCCTAAAAATCCTAACTGTCGTTATCAATTACATACATATTTTTTTCTAAAATCCCTTAAACTAATTAAATAAAAATTAAGGAAACTCCCTATTATGCTTAGATTTGTTAATTTTTTAATTTAAATATTTTTTAGAGAAAAATTCAAATTTTTAAAAAATAATTTAATTAATTTTATTATCAGCCAAAGTTATTTGTCTATTACTTCCAATTACTGAATCCAATTCTTTATGTAATCTATCTTGAACATTCATATTATGAATTATATGAATTATTCCCCAATTTAAAGTGTCTGTTGTTGTTTCTTGTCCAGCAATCCAGAAATCTAGTAAATGGGCATAAAGTGTTTCCATGCTTAAATATAAGTAAATGTTATCTAAACGAGTGTAATGTTTATTGGCAGATATATGAAAATTTTTCAGCTAGGCCGTAGACATGAAGGTATTCGAAAATATTTTTCCGAAAAATCACAGGGCAAATGTAAAATTTTTTGCCAAAAATACTTTAGTAATGTTACAAAAAACTTATATAGAAAACTTTAAATTATTCTCCTGTGTTATAGATTCAAAAGTATTGTAGATGATGAATTATATGAATTATTAATGATCCATAATAATTAATGAGCAATCGGATCGAGACAAGTGTGAACAACTTCTTCGTATAATGATCTCGAATGTTTCTCGCAACCTTTTCTGTTTTTCGAGATTGTGATCGAATCCCCGATAAATTATTAAACATACTCATAATCCTCTTTTCCGTCCTTCAATTTAACTTCACGCATAAAAGCACTAACAAAATCTAAACGTTCATCACCCAAATATTCTCCATCATTTTCATGTTCTTCTATTTGTTTTTTGAAAAAAGCATAAGTTCTCATTATTTTGCGTTGTACTTCAAGAAATATCTCTTTAAAATAAGGTAAATGTCTGATTAAATGGGGCCACCAAGACATTAAAAATTGTGTTGATGGTTGGCCGATTGTATACCTTTAAAAAATATTAAATAATTGATCTACCTAATTTTTCAAATTTTAAATAAGGTTGTTTTACCAGATTTGTACTCTGTCTCCGTCCATGAAAGGACTGTTGACAATTACATTACATAACAACTTAGGACTTTTTTTTGTTAATTTCCGTCATCTCCCCGCTGCCTCCTCGTCAGGGAATATTTATTTACTTGATGGTTATAATTTTTGAATTACAATTTTATAATTTTAATTTTCCATATCTTATAATTTTCCATATTTACTTGATGGTCAAATAACTATATATTTTCATCTCAATAATTAAAAAAATCATACATATATTCGTTCAGTATTTTCTTCAATTCAACAAATTCCTCTGTCTTTTCCTGTTAAAAATTATAATCAAAATTTTAAAATTAAATATGATTAAATACAAACTCCATGAAATTGATAACCAAAAAGCAAAGAATTAATGATAGAGCCTACACAGAGATCCAAATGAGAAATCTGAAATTTTTTAGATTTTACATATCCTAAGACCCTTAATCATGTAATAAAATTTGAGAAAGATTAATTAAAAATTTTAATAATTTATAACAAACAATTTCCATATCTTCTCCAGTAGGGCACTCTCCAATAGCTTTATCTATATTTTCACACATAGATGAGAATTCAGAAAGAACCTTTTTAAGTATTAAAAATATTTTTTATTAATTTATTTTATTTTTTACTTTTTGTTCAAGCAAATTTTTTCCAACGCCAAGATTTCTAAAAATATTCATAAGGAATTTTCTGTGCTCACGCCAAGCCTGTCCTTCCTACTTTTAATTTTTTAAATTAAGAGAAGATTTAAATTTTTTAATTAATTTATTACCATATGAACAAGTCCATTTTTACCTTAAAAATTTTTTTAAAAATTTATTTTAATCCAGTTGGATTTAAATTTTGATTATCCTCAAAATCATTAGATATTTCTTTATTTATGATAGATTATTTTTATAATTCAGCTGTATTAATGTGGGGTGGGACAATAACCCTCTTGGTAATACATAACCCGATTTAGAAATTTTAAGAAAAATTCTCACCACGTGCTAAAGTATAAAAATCTTGAAAGAAGTCTCTATCTGTATAATTATCACCATCTTTTACAATAGTTTCATTAATTAAAGAATATTCAGTAAATGCAACCATTGGTTGTTCTCCAACCTTGTAAATATTTAATTTTTTGATAAAAATCAAAGAAAATACCCACCCAATATGTATAAATAGGTCCATATTCTTCTCTCCATTTAAGAAAAATATCATAACCTGGAGGTTTTTTGCCCAACTCTAACAAATTTCCAACAATAGGCAAAGGTGTGGGGCCGGAAGGCAAATGACGTCGTTTCCAATAAAAATTATAAAAAAGCAAAAGTTGAAAAAGTGCTAATAAAATACCAAAGAAAAGGAAGAACATTTTCTATTAAAATGATAATTCTTTAAATTTTCGGGTATATATCAGGGATTGAACCCCTTCCGCCTCTACTCATTTTTAGAATGATTAAATTAATAAAAATCATAATTAAAATAATAAAAATTATTTTTTCAGTTTATCAAATCACCTTACAATAAATAGTAAATCATAATATTTAAGAGTTGGGATTAATTTAAACATCCTAAAAGTGTATGTATTAAGACGTGTTATCATAAAAAATTTTTTGAATATTTTAAATTAAAAAATATTATTAGTAGAAGAATTGAGAGAGTTTAATATTAAATTAAAATTAATTATTTTTAATTATAAAATAATCAATTTAAAAATTATTATTAAAAATATTAACTAATATACTAACAAAATGCACTATTGAGGACTAGGCAAAAAACAACGACAGACTTCAGCGGTTGGTAGAAAAACTAAAAGAGAGGATAAATACATCGATTTTAATGCGGAAGTACATTTTAAAAAGTTTTTGACGTTGAAAAAAGTAAATAATAAAAATGTTTTTAAGTTCGTTTCTTTATTTTGTCTAATTTTTTAAAGATACTTGTGATGGAAATAATTTTGTATACGAGAAATAAACTTTCAAAAACACTCAGAAAAAATTTTAGATTTATAATATTAATGAGAGTCTAGGATGTAAAAATGTATATACATAATATATTTATATACATATTAATTGATGTAATAATTAATAAAAAATTCTGCAGCTATTTAAATATTTAAAGAAAACTATTTGCGCATAAATATTATAATATTTGTGATAAATAAATGTTTGTTTATAAATAATTAAAAGTTATAATTTTTTGTTATTTTATACATACTGATGTTTTCAACGAAAAAATTCAAAGGATAGCAAATTTACAATGAAGTGTAAGGAAAGAATATTTGGCATAAAAATATTTGAACACACATCATAGTGCGGTTGTCACATAGTCTGTAAAATTTTCTGCAAGCGTATTTTACTTATCAAAAAAATTTTTTTAGACAAGAATGAATAACATACGACTTTTTAAATCATTCTGGAATTCAATTCAAGGAAATAAATATAATAAATATCCAGAAAAAACTTGCGGACTGTATGGCAACAAAATATTTATTCAAAAATTGTTTTTAACATTTACTATTTATTTTTTTTAATTTAAAGTTTTAATTTAAACTTTTATTTTTTAAATTTAACTGTTTTTAAAGAAATTTGATAAAGCGAATAAATAAATTTTTAAGTTTTATTTATTCAGCTTTATTTTACTTAAACTATTAAAAAAGGTTTTTACTAATGATTCCATTAAATTTAAAAAAATAAAAAAATATTTCCCAATTATTTCATAATTTTTTATGCCAAAAATATTTTTAAATTTCTAAATAAAAATTTAACAAATTTTAATTTCATGGGTATAATCAAATTAAACAATTTTTTGTTTTTCATTATTTTAACAAGAATTTTTTGGACAACACCACTGTTAGTTGAATCTGTTAATTGGTGTAAAGCTTTTGGTGGAGATATTGTTGGAAGTTGTTATTTTTTAAATAATTTAATTTATTTGAATTAGCTTGCTCAACTTTTGGATTTGGTGAATGCCCTGAAGGTTCGTCTTGTTTACTTGGGAAATGTTGTAAAAGGAAGGGAGCAGAGGAAGCTACGGAAGCTACTACAATTTCAATAATTGATACAATTCCTTTAACTACAGAATCTACCACAGAATCTACAACCACAAGTACCACAACCACTACTTCTACCACTTCTACATCCACAACAACCCCGACGACCCCAACAACCACTACCCCTAGTACAACTACAAGCACAACAACCACTACTACAACTACAACCACCACAACTTCTACTACAACCCCTTCCACAACCACTACAACTCCAACAACAACAACCCCTTTAACTCCACCAACAACTCCTCCAATGTTATATATCAATGGAGTTCCTTTAAAACGTAAGAACCTTAAACGAAATTTATAAAAATATTTTTATTCTCTCAACCAATTCCAGCCTGCATTGACGATATTGAAAAATTTAAAGGAATATGTGCAATTGCAGCAAATTTAGGGCATTGTTTGGTGATTATTCAAGTAAATATTATATTTTTTTCTAAATTTTAGTCAAGTAATGTACTAGTAAAAAGAAAAATGGCAATTAGTTGTTGTGGAACTTGTCTTAAATTAAATGAAAATTTTCTACCAAAACAACAGACAATAAAATAAATATTTTGATTTTAAAAAACTTGAAAACTTAATTAAAAACTTAATTTTGATAATTTTTATAAATTATAAATTTACTTAAAGTCTCTTTTAATTATTCCACAAAATCTATATTTATTCTAATTAAGAAATTTCTAAAAAACACAGAATTTGTGGATAATTAAAACAGGCCTAATGTTTCTGTAAAAAATCTAAATTTTGATTTTTAAAAATTAAAAAGATTTTGTGAAAATTTTGTTATTTTCTTTAGTATTTTCATTTAGAATTTTAGAAAATACTTATTTAAAAAAAATCCTAAATTAAATTTCTATTATTTTAATTATTTTAAATATATTTTTAATATTTATAAGTATGTATATTCAAAAAAATAGAAATCTGAAAATTAAATTTGAAAAATTCCTTTCCTAAGCAGAAGCTATCATAACTAAAGTGTTTATATCAAATTCAATTCCTTTTGCATACATTCTTTGAAATGGCTTCATTAACGCATTCAAATTTAAAGGAACACCTGAACGGATAATAAAGGGAGCGATCAACAACATTTGCACCTTTAATAAAAATTAATTTTTTTTATTTTAAAAATAAATTCAATGAGGAATTGAAGAAATTAAAAATATATTTTTATATTTAAACAAAAAACATTTTTCGAATTTTTGTAACAACATATTGTGATTTTATCTATAAAAAATTTCTTCAGTTCGGTTTTGGATATTCAAAAAATTTTTAGAAACGAGACCTCTATTAACTATCTAGCTTCTAGTATAATTTATTACTTCACTTTATCTTTAATAAAACGATAAGTAAAGAATAAAACTTTCTAAACACCCAAGACTATTTATGGTTGTCTGTTTGGTATCAAACCGAAGAAGTACATAAGGATTTTTCAGTTCGGTTCTTTGGTCGGTTACGAATATCCAAAATATTTAATCTGATAAAGTAAATAAAATCGTTAAGCAAAACCAACCACATAAATAGTCAATACAGGCTTAGCTGCATATTTTCTTTGATTTAAAAATTTAGTGAGCATTTGAAATATTGTGATAAATGAATTTGACCGCCGCCGGCGAGTTGAAGAAGAGGTAGAGGAACATAAAGAGGGCGAAACCATTAATTTTGGCATTTTATTTTTCTAAGGAATTTAAAAAAAAATAAAAAGATTAATAATTATTAATTGTAAAATTCTCTCAAAAATTGTTTTTTCTCCCTTTGAGGGAAAACAATACAAGAAAAACAAAAAATAATAATCTAACAAATGTATTAGATTATTAACAAAATTTATTATTTAAAAATAATTTACGTAATTAAAAAACGCAAAATATAAGTATTGTTATTTTTATAAAATAAATCTAATGTTAGAAGGAAAAAATTTATTTCTTTTAATTCTAAAAATCTATTGAAATTCCTTTTTGCAAGAATTATAAAATAAATTTTACAAAAATTTCGAATTTTTTGGTATAAAATTTACTTGAACCATAAAATAAAGTCACTGCGGTATATGGCCGTTCTCGCTATAATCACACGATCAAACAGAGACCTTTTCTTCCCTAAAAAGTCTTCGGATATTGGTTAAAGATTAATACAAAAATCTACTCAACAAATATTTTAAAACCCATCTTTCCTTTCTCCAAATTTAAATAATAAAATACTTGAGAGAGAAACAAAACAACTCAACACATTGAAATGTGCCAGAGTAATTTTGCCATTTTCTTTTATTTTTTACTTAAAGAAAATGAGTGTTGGAACCTTCGAGTGTAACGGGAAAAATAAAAAAAAAATGGAAAAGCCGACGGTTTTTTTATTTTTTAAATTTTTTATTCACGTGTTACTTAAAGAGTTTGAAGAAATTTTTTCTTTTTCTCTATAAGGCCAATTAATTGCTTTTGTCTTTTTTATTTTATTTTTCTTAAAATTTGGCAATTAACAAACAAAAAATTGTCTAAAAGACAGGAATATAACAATTATTTATTTTTTAAAGCAAACAATGGGGAGGAAGGATGACACGAGTTTTTCTTGAATATTAAAGTAAAAAAACTAAATGTAAATGAGAATAATGAAGAAAAATAGTAATTTGTTTTAACCGATAATTAAATAAAAATTTTAGTAAAATAAATTTATATTTTTAAGTAAATAGGTAATTGATATCTTAGAGGTATACTCGGTAATTAAATTTAAAATAAAAATGAAGTAACTAAAGAATAAAACTTGAATAATATCTCAATGAATAGCTGATAATCGGATACTCGATAATAAGTGCGGACGTTAAATTTCGGCCTTGCGTTTTTGGAGATTACAACCTGCTCGATATTACAACATATATCTCGAATATGAGATCTGAGTTTTGTGAATTAGAGGAACTGACACAAAAATTATTAGAAATTTTTGATTTTTGGGATTTAGGAATATCTATCTTTCGCCCATCCTCAAACACCATATCAATGTTTAAATGGGAATTGAATATTCCAATAATTCTATAATGTAAATAGATTCTAAAATAACATTGGTTAATGAAAAATATTATATAATTTTACAAATTTTGGAAATAATATTAAATAAAACACAAATTTAAATTCAAAATAATTCAATTTTTCCTCATTATTTCCAAGCATTTTTAATTTGTTAGACTCTAAATACTTGTTTAATAAAATAAAAAAATAATATAAAAAATAAGATAAAAAATAAGATAAAAATCTATATAAAATCCAGTATTTGTCAAAATAAATTAATTTTTATTTGGTGTATTTTATATCCTTGTCTTTAATCTTTTCTCTTTGTTTTAGTTTTGTCGCATAATTTCTTTTATTTTTTATTAACTTTTTGTTTATTTTTTATCCTTTATTTCTTGTTTATTAATTAGTTGGTAAATTAGGGTATTAAATAATAAAGAAAAAATTATTTAGCGGAAACAATCCATTCTCAATCATTTTTTGTTTTTAGTAATGCTGCAGGGGAAATCAAGATTTTTTTTATATTTTTTGGGGAGCTAGTTCCGTCATCTCAAAAGCCATTTAAAGCGATGGGATTTCTTAGTAAACTATCAGTCGTCGTCAGTTTTTCGGCCGGTCGCAAGCCCTTAGCCCGTATAGGTTGGTTTAATTAATTATTTAAATTTATCTTTTAAATTTCAAAAAGGAACCTAACATTAAACTATCAAACTGTTGATAAAATGTATAAGGTGAACTCAGGGGAAATGATTAGGAAATACATTTTAAAAATGAAATGTTAAAATAATAAATTATCAAAATTCCTCAAATATTTTTTAAATAAATAATTTTTTATTTCAGTGCTGACTGAGAAAATATTGTCAGTCAGTGCCCCAAGTCATTGAGTCAATCAACAAGTCACAGTGTCCAGAAATGGACTCCCAACTACAAAAGCAGCCGATCGTTTTTGACAACGACGGCGGCGAAACAGAGGAGCATCGCCAATTACGTCGAGTAGCTTTCTTCTCAATTGTTATTTCTACAGCAGCAGTTATAGCTTCAATAGTTACATTGCCAATGCTTTATAGCTATGTTGCTTCCTTCCAAAGTCATTTGGTCCAGGAGACTGACTTCTGTAAAATACGTTCACGCGATATGTGGACAGAAATGGCAGTGTTGAATCAACCAGCACCGCCAACTGGAAGCCGTGGAAAGCGTCAAGCTGGAGGATATGGAGTTGTGAATCCAGAACCAGCTACATGCTGTCCTTGTCAGCAAGGCCCACCTGGACCGTCCGGCCCACCTGGAGATAACGGAGAGCCTGGATCTGATGGGTAAATAATTAGGATAGTTTTCCCAACTAATATTTTTTGTTCAGAAAGGATGGCCAAGATGCTCAAGATGGCCGTGATGGTCAAGTACTTAGAAGTGCAATACCTCGTGAACCCTGTATCATCTGTCCAGCAGGACCTCCCGGATCACAAGGAGCGCCAGGCCAGAAAGGACCACGCGGACCCAAAGGTCAACCTGGAGAGCAAGGAAAGAATGGAGATAAAGGAACACCCGGTTTCCAAGGACCGCTTGGATTGCAAGGACCTGGTGAGATTTTAATGGGCGATCTTAATTAACCTCAAAATATTTTTTAGTTGGCCCACCTGGACCGCCGGGACCAGTTGGTACGCCTGGCCGAGTGATTCAAGTCAATGGCCCAGCCGGACAACAAGGACCAGCGGGACCACCTGGACCTCCAGGAAAGAAAGGATCTCCTGGAAAGGATGGCACTAATGAAGCTGGAGGCCCTGGACCAAAGGGAGATGACGGTCCTCCAGGACCACCAGGAGCACCAGGACCGCAAGGACCTCCTGGACCTGGTGGACCTCCAGGAGAGCCTGGAACTTGTGACCATTGTCCACAACCACGTACACCCCCAGGCTATTGAGAAAAACATTAGAGGAGAAAATTGGCTGCTAATTGGGATATGTGACAAAACAACAAAAGTGCCAACAACACCTAGGCACGGCTGCGATAAATTAAACACAAGCATCATAACATCGATGCGAACCATGAAAGGACCAGGACCACAACACACGCTTTGTCCAAACATCGGACATATTTAAAACAAACAACACGACTGACAAAAAGGGGCTGTGACAGAGGGCAAGGAAAATAGAGATGGAATTAAATATGTAGAAAAATATTTTGGAAAAAAATTTTAATAAAATAGTTAAAACATTTTTTATATTAACGATGAGGGCGAAAAATAAAAGCGACTGACTGATTATTTTTAATTGTTTTTTGATTGAGTAATATTCCAAAATCTTGCTTAACTGATTCAGATATAAATACTGTCGAATCTCGATTTTAGATACTTTGACAATTTTTTATAAATGTTAGCTACTGGAATTGAGACATACCCAAGTCCTTCCTTACTTAAAAATGGATTTACATAGTACTTAAATTTTAAAAATGTATCTTTAGACATCGAAAAATTTATGTCGAACTATTTAATCCAAATTAAATCAAAATAACTAATGATCAAAATCCACAAAATTTCTCGCTTAATCATTAAAATTTTATTCAAAAAAAAATATTAAATAAATAAGGCAGTTTTACAATAAAACATAAATATAATTTTAAATAAATTCAAAAAAAAAACGATTCGTAAAACGAATTGACGAGGTTAAAATCCATCACATTGAAAGATGTTTAAGAAAACAAATAAATCTATTCATTTATTTTATCCACTACTTTTAAAACTAGAATTTCTGTCACGCGTTAAAAGTCGGCAAAAAGCATTTCGAAAGTCTCTACTAAAAGCCGCATAAAGTATTGGATTTAGAGCCGAATTAGAATAACCAAGCCAAAATGCCAAAGTAAATAACCATTCGGGGATACATTTTCCGATTGGGCAGAATTGAAAAGCCTGAAAATTTTTATTTTTAGAAGAATTAAATTAATTTTTTATTTAATCTAGTATAGGGGTTGGAAGGAATACGCAAAAATATTGCCACAAGAATTCATTTTCTAATTTTTCCTTTCGGGAGAGGGGGGTCGGATATAAGACATAAATTTTGAATACCGTAAATATTCTAATATAAGACCTTGGCTTATAATTTTCAATGGGTCTCCTCAGATGGGCTTATATTGGAGGTGGGCTTCTAAAAGAGGTGGGCTTATAATAGAGTACGTATTTACGGTAACTATAAGTGTAATATATACTATTCTTAAATTATCAGAAAAATTCTTCCAGAAAAATATTAATTAATAATTTAATTTAATTAGGTATTCATTATTTTTATTAATAAAAATCCTTTTTATTTATTTATTTATTTTTCCCTCGAAATATTAAAAATAAATTTTAGTCAATATTTTTTAATTATCAAAGATTGAGAGGATTAAAAATTACACAAATTATTAGTCACAGACTTATTTAAAAATAAAATAAAAAATGAAGACCTGCACAACGTAGATAATTGTAAAAGGAAGCCAACAACAAGTAAAACATCCGACCACAACTAAAAAATATTTAATTGTTAATAAATGACCCCACAAATATTTAATTAATTAATATTTTTTTAATTATAAGAGGATTTTATATAAAATAAAAGAATAAAGGATTTTTGTTGAGGAAAGGGGATTTATTTACATAAATGATGTTTAAAAATAAAGAATAGAAAGAGGATTATGACTAATTTTTTAAATTTTTATTTTTTTATTTTTTTATGGTTTCTAATTTTTAAATTTTTAGAAAAAAACAGGAAGTGACGAAATACTTAATTGTTAAAAAATATAATTGTATTTTGTTATAGTAGGTGGAATTACACCCATAGGGACTAGCATGAACTTAAGTGACGTATGAATGTGAAGTGGGATCAGTCGTTGAAATAGAGAGATCCCACGCTTAATCCCATGAAAAAGAGTCTTCTTATGGGTAAAGATAAGTTACTGGGTTTATTGGGGGGGGGGGGGTTGAACAATTAGTGAAAAATTTACTTTTTCCCCATTAAAAAATTTTTTTTTAATTACCAGCAATAGTTCTAGCAACTCTAAGCTCTGTTCTTAACGAAGTTTTAGCAAATTGTAATGTTGGGTAAAGCAATAATTTTTCACTTTGACGGCGACAAATGGTTGCACTCCTTTTTGAACTTCCAGCAAATAGAGAAGTTACTACGGCCGGAAACCAGACAGAACGATCTGCTGTTCTCTCAATTCTAAAAAAATTTTGTAAAGAAAATTAATCGAAAATTTTATTTTTTCTCTCACATTGAAGGCTGTCGAACAGCAGGAATTGAACGAACAAGTCTTTCTTGTTCAAGCAATCTCCGCATATTTAAAGCCATTTGTGCATTAAGGGAAGAATTTAAATCAAATGTTGGAGATGAAAGAATTGACTGGTAACTACGTTTTTGTTCACGAGAAGTTTCTATAGAGAATTTTTTATTAGAAAATTTAAATCAAAACTAGACGAATTTTTTGATTTTCTTTTGGAATAAAAAAAGGATAGGAATCAAAACTTAAAATTTTAATTATCTTCCCTCGATTATTATTCATTCAGCTGGTATTTAGAATATAAAATTATTAAAGACAAGTAATTAAATGTGTTCGTAATTGAATTTAGAGCTCGGCCAGAAAGGTCAGATAGTATTTTTTTTAGATATGGACACCGATCACGTCTAACCATGACCCTGAGGATCCTATTATTTTTGTTTAGTTAGTATCGATAAAAACAAATCGAGCATTAATTAAAACTCTAAATTTCGTTAATAAAAAATTACATACTTATTCTTCTTATTCTGTTCAACCAAATTTGTCTTGCACTAATTTTGTTTGTATTAAATGTCCAACTTAAACACTGATCTCTAAAATAAGGAGGAGGTGAAACTGTTCCTCCACAATTATTTCCTCCTCCATTAGAAGCTGTCCATTCAGCATCCAAACTTTTACTTCCCAAAGTGTCAGTTAATGACATTTCGTCTTTTTGTTGGCCTCCATTTGCTGATAACTGCCTTTGATAAAATCCAATACTTGTTGAATTAGCTGTTAAAGTAGCATAACTTTCTATTGTTGGTTTTCTACTATTTGAAGTTATTGTTTGTCTATCATATTGACTTATTGCCCGTTGTATAGGTAGAGATAAGGGCTGATAAAATTCGTAATGTTTAGGTGGTAAAGCTTTCTTTCTGAGTAAATTGAATGACCGACGAACTTTTTTTCTAATAACGGGAGATTGTGGTTGTTGCTGAAAAAATAAATATTTGAATAGGTAGTTTTTTGAACAGATCTGATTTTTCATTTAATAGGAGAACATCTCATTTAACAGCCTTATTTTATTTTACTGTTAGCTTCGGTTATAACGTTACTTTCTAAAATCTAATTCAGGATATTCACATCATAACTTATGCTTGTTATTCTTAATAATTTTATGTCTTTAATATTATCGTCTAGATAATTTTATTTTTTTAAATTCGTAGAAATATGTATATATTACGCACACATTCCTTTTAAAAAAACCAAAAGGGAAATTTACATATTTTAAAATTCCCACTTTAAAAATATTTTTTTCAAAGTAAATCTTTTTGCTTTTTACCATTTCTGATAAATAACAAGTTGGAGCAGATGTTGACGTCGATCTATATTGGGAGGGATTTGTTGTTGATGTTTTACAGATTCCTCCAATATTAGTGTTACTTCCTCCTCTATGAACTCTAATAATTTCATCATAAGAGACTAATGAATGTTGTGAAGGTTGGTGTTGTTTGTAGGATGCTGACGATAATAAAATTGAAGTACTCCTTCCAGGAAAGGTTGAGGATGTGGCTTGAGAGAGTTTTCGTCTAGAATCGAGAACTGTGCAGAAAATACTTGCATTTAGTCCAATCTGGAATAAAAAATTAAATTACCCAAATTAATTAATTCTTAATGGAATTTCTATAGTATCCCGCCCTTTAAGAAGTAAAGATCAGTGATACTTGAGAGATTGTGATAATTGGGAGGGTGAGGTATATTTTAGATAAGATAAATTATGACTAGAAATGTTGGTATAACAAAGAGATTGGAAAATATGACAGAGAAAGGTAGAAGTTGAGGATGGGATAACATTTTAAAAGGTAATGTGGGGGATGGGATATAGGGATAGAAGGCAATAAGGAAATAATAATTTGCTAAAAATTACCATCAAAATCATTGGCAAAATAAACGAAATAGTTGCAGAAAATAGAATATAAAAATCAGAATTAGTTACAGGCGTGCAAGTCCCCTCAAATTGCAAAAATGCTTCAGAATAGTTAGCTTCAGGTAAAGCATCACTCATTTGTTCATTACTTGCAGTTACCATAAAAAGGTCTGACAAAAATGGAGGGACAGCTAAACTTGCACTAATTAACCAAACAGCGCTAATATTGAATTTTGTTAGTCTATGAGGGAGAAAAAATAAATTTTAAGATTCTTTCAAAAATAAATTACCTGCTAGAGGAGATTAACCTTCCATATTTTATTGGTTGTTTAACAGCCATATAACGATCAAAACTAATAGCTAAAAGATTGTAAATTGAAGCTGTACTTAACAAAATATCCAAAGAAAGCCATGATTTGCACCAAAGAGTACCAAAAGCCCAAGAATTTGAAAATTCCTGAAAATAAAAAAAAAATTTTTTTGAAAAATTTTAAATTTTTCAAAAAATACCTGGGTAATAGAAAATGGCAAAATTAAACATCCAAGCAAAAAATCAGATAAAGTGAGAGAAAAAACAATAGTATTTGTACTTGTGTGAAGAGATTTTTGGGAGACAACAATATATAAAACAGCTAAATTTCCACAAACAACAAGTAAATTAATTGTTCCAAGAAATATTGACAATCCTAAAGAAGCGGACATATTTCCGCGCAGTTTAATGGCCAATTGAATGGCCGAATAAATAAATAAGTAGTTGAAAAAATATTTTTTAAATGTCTGAAAAACTAAAAGGCTTCATTTATTTAAATGAGAGAGAGGTGAAATATAGGGGGGGGGGGAGTAAAAATAAATAATGAGGAAAGTTAAAAATGAAATGATGGATAAACAAAAAATATTAAAATTTTATAAAAAAAGATTTGGAAATAAATAAACGTATTTATAAATTTTTTAAAAAATCAATGAAAATTTTGGGGGAAAATGTTATTAAAAATCATGCTTGTTAAAATGATAGAGAAATTAAAAAATCTGCCTTAAGGATAGGTGGCCAAGAAAACCCTACCCACGACCCAAAATAACGTATGGTTCGCCAAAAATATTAATGCAATTCTAAGGTAAGCGTATGTTAAATAAAAAATTATTCCAGAAAAAATCTTCGAAAGTAGGCCCGATACGAAAGCGGGAACGTTATACAAAATTAAAATGCATGATAAAAGAGGAAAAAGGACAACTTAATATTACCGAAAAATTTATTATTAAAAAAATTAAAGCAATTTTATCAACTTATCAGTAAAGCAGGTTTAAATTTAATAGTAAAAGTTCATTTTACAAAATTACTCTTTTAGATGGGAAACTCAAATAAAATATCAAAAGATTTAAATATTTATTTAAACAAATGTTTTAAAAAATTAAAAAAATGAATGATAGAAAAATTAAAATATATTCAATATACATATTCAATATATTCAAAGCAATTTTATATATTCAAAGTATTTAAATTTGAAAAAATAAATACTCAAAAATTAATAATTAAAAAAGGGGATTTTCTACTTCAACGAATTTTTAAAAAATTATAAATTAAAAATTTGATGTAATAATGAGAGGTGGTAACTATTTTTAGTTAAATAATTAAAATTTTCAAACTTTTTTTAGTTATTTCTTTATTAATTACCCTTTTTTAGACATTGTCGTCAATACTTTTTTTAAATTTTGTATTTATATTTAAAGTTAAAATAAGAATTTTAATCACGCAAATCTACAAAAATTATTTAAATTATAATGAATAATAATTAAATTAAACATAAATATAAACTTAATTATTATACCTATATTAAAATATAGATATAAGGATCAGAGGTGTGCCATTGCATTTCTCCTTTCGCGGATTTTCGTGTTCTTTTCGCTTTTTTAAATCTGTTTCGGCACACCCTTGTATAAACAGGTAGTAATTGTGCTCAAAAGATATGTAGAATACCATAAAGACAGATTTACCAGGCTCGAAACACAGAACCTAAAAGACAAATTACCAATAAATATAATTAGAAAATACAGCCGTTAGGTGCAATTTTAATAAGGCGGGAAAAGCAAGCTTATCTACTTATATTTTATTAAATAAAAATATATTTTAAAATGAGGAAATAAGGGGAATTAAAAATAAGAAATTAATAAATAAATTTATAAAATATATTAAAAGGAAGCTCTTTTAAATTTAATTTCGTCAAAAATGGGCAAAGTACACGACGTTTTTATTTTAAATTTTTAAATTTTTAAGTGCGTCAGATATTTAGTGATTTTGCATTAATTTAGTCATTTAAAATCTCTTTAAAAAGATTTTTAGCAATAAAAATATTTTTTAATAGAAATTCCAATTTAATTTTCCCAGAATGAATAAGGAAAATAAAAAAATATGTTTAATAAACAGTTTTGGCTAAATTCCTTGAAAAGATTAAAAAATAATATATAAATAAGGGTACTGTAATTTTGACAGACATTAATATATGGATAATTTTGGATTTTAAAAAGCGGAAGGCGGAAGCTGAAGAAAACGGAATAAAGTAAAAAGCGGCAGACGGCAAGCAGAGGCGGAAGGGCCAAAAAAGGCGGAATTCGGCTGAAGACGGAAGCGGAAGAGTTTACAAATAACTAAGTGATCAGTGAGTGATAATGCCATACTTGCTCTCAAATTCAATGACAGCAAGAGTTTATTTTTAAACCCTTATTGTCCTTTAATTAAGTGTCTTTTAATTAAGTTAATTAAGTGCATTAAGTGCAATTAAGTGCAGGGTTTAAATTCTGATATCTGAACATTTCGCTAGGATTCTACAGATTATATGTTCCAGTCATTACACCATATCATGATATTTTTTGCAACACTTATATTTAATCACATTGCTTATTTCTTTTGCCGATATTAGTTAAATCTATCAATATATCGAATAATGATGAACTTTAGACATAGAAAATAGTTTTAGAATATTGAACAAAAAATTCCTTGGAAATTTTAGGCTTTATATAAATTTTAATATTTAATATTACAAGGTAAAAACAACCCTCGATTAAGGTAGCAGGATATCGATTCAAAAAACACCAGATATCCGGAAATTTTCGATACGGATATTGGATTTAAATTCTGATATCTGAACGTTTCGCAGGATCACCCAGCCTTGCTTTTGATACCGAAGAGACCGAGGAGGTTAGTTAATGCGAGAATTATTGCTATGAGTTATCAAACTCGTACCAACTAGTATGTGTTATCAAACTGCTATGAGTTACATATGTTCAAAAAATAGTTTTAGTACCTTGGTGCGAAGATATAAATAGGTATTGTACGGAGTCAAGAAACTCAAAATTTGAAGCACTGGTAGCAAGCAGTGCTTCGACGCTCGTACCAAAATTCATACTCGCAGAGTACGAGCACAAAAATGAAAAATAAAGTAGTACGAGTACGAGGTTAACATTAGGGATGATACAAAATACGGCAAAATCAAATTTTTGAGCAAAATCAAATTTAGAGAGTCGTTTATAGTTAGATGAAATAAAAATATCAAAAAGTTTTAATGTATGTATGTATATTAATTATCAAAAGTAAATAATTTTAGAAAATATGTACTAAATGCAAAATTTAACATGCGCATTTTTCATTTTTAAAGGAATAAACTAGGACTATTATTTTAAAAGATTTTATGAAAATATTTACATTAGCTACTGTAATATGATTTAAATAGTAAAAAAGTAGGATTAAATTATTATTTAGATTTTTTAAATACTGTAGATTTAAAGAAAAATTTTTTTAAAAAAAAATTTTGTTTGTGAATTGCTTAGTATTAAAAATTTTTAATTAAAAAATGAAATGATTTAATTTTCTCCAAAATTATTTTTTTCGTTGTTTATTTGATGTGATATAATGTAAATATTTTGCTTCAATATATCGGCTTTAGATGTTTTTTTTAAATTTTTTTTGTCCTAAGAAGAGGATGTTTGTTTGAAAATCGGGTTTTAAACAGATTTGTTTAGAAAAATAAATAATTTTTTAGTAAATAAATAAATGTACTAAATACTTACAAACAACTAGTTAATCTTTAAAAAATAAATAATAACAAAAAAATCAAAATTAATCCCCTTTTTGACTCAAAAACCAAAGCAAACAAATATTTAAATTAAAAAATATGCATACATATTTACATAATATTTTTGTGAGTGCAACAAAAAAGAGGAGAAGAACACGTGAGGTAATAACAGGAAATAACAGAACAATTGATGACGATCAAGGGCTAAATAACAAAGAGAGACAGATAAGTAGACTGGCTCAATGAACGTTATTAAATAATGAAAGACTTTTAAAATTTTAAATATAATTTTTTTAAAAATAAGTCTAAATGAAAGTACATATAAAATTATTAATCACTAAATGGGTCATATATTTATAACAATGAGAGTTAATTAAGAAAAAGGTACGGTGCAAGTATGTACCTAACAAATCTTCTTCTTTAGCGTATACATTCCTTGATTAGAGGACCTCAATAGACATTTATATATTAGTTATGTTTAGGAGAAGAAAAAGCCCAGGAATCGGGAAGCGGGAGACCATCACTACATACTATATCCTCCTAAATCCTACAAAATAATCTTTATATAAAATGATAGTAAATTGCAGAAATATGTAACCTTGCGGAGTATACCCAAAAAGAACCTGGCTGTTTATTAAACAAATTTTTAAATAAAAAATTAATTAAAATATTATTTTAAAATTTTTATTTTGCATTTTCCAAAAGTAAGCAGACAACATGAGTTTAACTGCGTATTTCCTTTGATTTTTTTAAAATTATTTTTTTGAAAAAAAAATACCCCTTTCCCCATTGTACTTGCTTAACAAAAAGAAAAAAAAGAAAATATTCGAGAGAAAGAAAACAATTTTCATTAATTTCAAAATAGATGAAGCCAAACAAAAAATAAAAAAAGAGAAAAATAAATTTTAAAAAAAATAAATAAAAAAAAGGTTTGTTACGGAGTATGTTGGGTTTAAACAAATTTTATTATTCTAATAAAAAATTTTTGAATCAAAAACAAATAAAAATTTGGATTAAATGATGTGAGATTTTAAATAAAGGAGAAATTAGTAGGTTTATTTTTTCTAGTTTCTTATGTATTTTTATTCTCGTACTTACTAAAAATAAAATTGAAAGAATAATTTAGGTATTTAAAAGACAAGAATATTTCTATAATTTTTATGAATTGATAAATTTATAATTAATTTGGAAATATTAAAAATGAAAAATTTGCACTTTTTTGTATCAAAAATATAATTTAAATTAGGGTTGGGCTTTGAACGTTCTAGGATGGGGATACTGAATACGACGTTTTTCTTTCGAGTTTCCTAAGTATAGAGGCTCCACTGCAAATTTTATAAAAATTTAAAAAAATAACGCGAATTTTACAAAAAAGATTCTTTATAAAAAAATTTTTTTAACAAAAAAAAATTAAAAATAATGTCTTAAATTATTTTCTTTTGTTAAAAATAATTAATTTTTCTCCTTTATAACCAAAAATTTTTGATTAGCTAAATTTAGTTCTCCAAGGAATTGTTTATTTGTCTAATATGGGGAAAGGTTTCCCATAAAAAAGAAAAAAATGAGCTTTGAAGTACTAAAATTTAAAATTAGGAAAAAATTTTTTAACAAATAATCTATCAAAAAATATATTATATTTTAATTGGACATTAACAAAAAAATTTTTAAGAACTTTGATATGTAAAAGGGATAGATAATTGAATAAAAAATTTTTTAAAAAATATTTAAAATCCGATTAAAAATTGATTAAAAATATTTTTTGTATTTAAATATATTTATTAGTAATTTAATTTAAATATTTTTTTCGTAATTTTTTCTTTGCATATTTTTGGGGATAAGAAAAAAATCTTCCGTAACGGATTAAAAGGAATATATAGTATTATTTAAATAAATATATTTTTATTATTTTAATGAGTGTTAGAGGATAGTATATATTTAAAATTCAATTAATTTCTTAAATAAAAATTTAAAGGAATTTACGGATTTTGATGAATTTTGCTTGGATTTTTATTAATAAATTTTGTTTGGATATTAATTTTTATTTGAAAATTAATAAGAAATTGAGATGTAAGAACATTCAAAGTTTGGATTTATTTTTGAAAATTTCTTTAAAAATATTTTCCTCCAAGATTCCCAACTTTTGTTTAAAGATCATAAAATAGTA